CGCGCGCGCACGCGCGTGTGGCCGAAAACAACACAACACTTGGTGCATAGCTTTGTGCTTGTTGTAACCTCTCCAACTCTCTTTATTATAATAAAGAGAGTTAAACTCATTTAAGAGTCTAATGTGGGAGTGAACTTGACCCTTCAAATCCCACAACCAATGTTTTACGTGCCCTTTTATGGCTAACTTTAACAATTTATTTCTCACTCACCGAAAATCAGTTTTGAGAAAATAAATATACCATGAGTATCTACTCGGAACGTAGAATTTTTCTACAATATTTAATTCAATGCAACTGAAATATTTAGCCATCATAAATTCAGTAAAAACTGGGTCAAACCCAAGTTTTATAACTGATTTTTCCAACAATCTTATGCTGTTGTGTGTTGATTTTTGGTTTCAAAAATCATGTTGTTATTCGGTTTTGAGCCTTATGTATTGACATGTATCTAAGCTTTGCCTGATATTTTTAGCTGAAATGTGTATTTATTAGAACTTTCAGTTCAGTTTATTCGGCCTTAGCATGAGTTTTGTTATTTGAGAATACAAAGAGGTGAAAAGGGCATGCGGTGTTGTGAAATTTTGACCTCATTATAAATGTTTGTTGTTGAAGTTTTGTAGACCTTTTATATGTTGAAATTGAATGCCTTCGGAGCCATTATTTTCGTATTTAAAGCTTGAGCATATGTTGTTAGAATTTTGAGGACAGAAACAGAATTTTGAAGCTTGATGTGTAATCTTTAGCTTTACTTTAATTCTGATTATGCTGAGGATTCTTTGAGTTATTCCATGTTGTCAAAGTGCTTTAATGTCGTTTTAATAAGCATGTTGTATGCATGTGTTTTAGATGCTAAAAATGTTTATATTCAGTGGCTTATGTTGGGTTTTAAATGGCCATTATATTGGTGTTTTTAAACTTGTGAAAAGAGAATTGAAGCATGATTGTGTTATATTTGTCCTTACTGTGGCTTGTTTTGTTGAACTTGTTATGCTGATAAGGTGCTTTAGATTCAGAGTTTTAAGTCCAGCTTATAAGGTGATGTTTGATTTACTTATTTATTTATTTATTTTCTTTTTTATTTTATTTTTTTAGAAGAGATAATGTGAGAAAGGCTAATATGCATGCTTATAAGTTGTAGAAATTTTGAGCTACAAGATTTCCATTTTTCTCAAGCTATGTTATATGTGAGTTTACCATGCTTAACTGAAGTATCATAGACCTTTCATTTTAGCTTATAAGCCCTTTTATGTGTTGCTTGGATTGGACAAAAAGAGATACAAAACTTATGTTGCTTTATCTGCTCAAATTGACTGTATTAGGTGATTTTATATGAATTGTTTGTTCGTATTTTGTGCTCCTACGTGCTTAATTTCCGTGCTCTCTGCCTGATAATCAAACCTTAAATAATAATTAAACCCCTAATTTGTAGATTAAGATGAAGTCGAGCCTCATCGACCTATCCGAGCATGTGTGCTATTTATCATCTTGTCTGCTGATCAGGTGGGTTTTATTTGGAAATGCTATGCCGTAAATGTTATTAATGTTTACTTTTGGTATGATCAAAGTATGCATGTGGATCATGTAGCCTTCGATGTGAGTTGTACCGGCCGTCGAACGGTTATCCCCGTAGTTATAGAACATACCCGTTGGGTAGTCTCCCTTGAGAGCCGTAAGACCAGGGCTTAGGTCCCTCAGCTGGTGATCCTCGTTGGTAAGACCAAGGCAAGGCCTTTGCCGGCGGGGTGGTTTACTCCTACTGGCTTGCACTCGTTGTAAGCAGTAGTCTATGCGTAGGTGTGCACATGAGTCTTATTATTGATATTATTGATGGGAGATTGGGATAGATAATGGTTTTGTATACATGCTGCGACCATACCATAACTATTTATGATTACTGTTATATTATGAATGATGTATAATGCATAGTGGTGAGCACCACGGATTCCATTTGTGCTCACCCCCACCTATTTCCTCACGGTTGCAGGTTAGTATTTGCGGGCACGGCGGAGGGATGCGAGTGGTGGTCGGCCATTGAGACCAACTTATTATTGATGTGCTTCCGCATTATTGAACTGATTTTATGAATTACGCATTATTGAGTATTTGAAATAATGTTAAGGAGTTGCTCCTTTGTTTGCCACTGAACACAGCCGTTCCTAGCCCAACTTCCACAATAATTAGCTATCCCTCAAAAACAAGAAAAATAGATGAACAAAAGACATACAACCAGAACAAAGCGCTGTGGGCTGAGGTTATTAGCTTCCTCAAATTCCACCCATTCCGCCCAAGCTCCATGAGCAATGTCTACTTCGGATTTCCAGACGTTGTTAAAGATCCAAATGTTTCTGGACTTCCACAACCACCAAAGTATGTAGGAAGAAAAGTGTATACGGTCGTGGAAGCTTCTAGCTCTCTTCATGGAGCAAATGTCTTGCCACCAAATTCGAAAAGAGAAGTTTGAGAGATGCATTCCTTCCCAATGTAAGCTTGCATGCGTCCAAACTTTCACAGCACGAGGGCAAGAGAAGAATATATGGTCAAGGGATTCCTCCGCAGACCCACAAACACTGCAAATGGGGTCCACCTGGATGCCTCTCTTGATGAGCTGGTCATTTGTGCCTAAGTATTTGAACCAGCAACGCCAGAGAAAAACCTTTATTTTCTTTTTAATTTTCAGAGCCCAAGTGGTCTTCCAAGTTTTAGAAAATCTCAGGATTTGGTTACTTTATTCAGGGGGTCTGTAGAGCATTTTCCTTTCTGAGAGAATGGACAAATAAGCAGATTTAACTGAGAATTTACCTTGCTTGTGTGGAGTCCAGATCATAGCATCTTGCTGGCCTTTCCTGAGGGGGATTTTCAGAATTATTTGAGCTTCTTCAGGCCTGAATGTTTGCTCTACAAGTTCTTTATCCCATGCAGTGCCATTTGGATTCAGCAGATCCCTCACTTTTTTCAGTCTCAAGCCGTCAGAGGTAAAAGCCATTGAGGGGGAAAGATTATGAAGCCTTGCAGCCCATGGATCAGCCCAGATGTCTATGTTACTACCATCTCCAATAGACATGATGACTGTTTTCTCCTTTGTTACTATTGATGATTGATGATTGATGATTGATAATTGGTGATTGATGATTGATGATATTATTGATGAACCCGTTCGGGAGTTGAACGAAATGTTGAGATTATTGTTGATTATTGATGTATGCTTTTGAAAATGAGTAACGCCACAAATGATTTTGAAATAAATTTGAAAAACTTATTACTGATTTTCATCAAATAAAAGTGGGGCGTTACAGTGACACTTCAACTTCCATTTGTTTTCAATTGAATTTGATTTATTCGTGTATGATGTTGGTGATTCTATTTGATTAGTCGGTTAACACCCTCTAATCTATCTTAATCGACTCTTAGAATCGAAAAGGGAGGAATCTGTCGAAATAGGCTCGTATAAGCTAGCTTATTTGGCTTACCAAACATACCCTTAATGTTTGGAGCAAAAAAGGTTATGTATACAGCATTGCATAAAAAAATTGGAAAAAAAAAAAAAAAATAATGGCATTGCATAATTTAAGGTATTGATATTGTGTTGGCAGAAATAACAGCATTCCATTAGATTAGGGGTTAGTTCAAGATTTGAGGTTGAGACTTTCTCTTTTTAGTAAACCACTAATATTATTTACCATATACATGTATATATATATATATATATATATATATATATATATATATTCTAGCATGCTTATTTTCATTTTCAAAACACAAATTCAAATTAAGTACATGTCCATATAAGCTTGATCATACTATATTAAGTTTTTGATTATTCAGCATTTACTGGATAATACCATTCAGATAATGGCTTATCAATGGTTAACGTTACTAATTTGCTTTGTTGTTTTTACCAATACTCGAGGTATGTGTGTGACAAATATAATATTTTGTATTTAATTAACACCTAAAAAATATTATTTGGGCACATATTTTGAATATTTACTAATTTAATTTATTTTTTCAATGTTTTTGTTTATGTATATTAGGCCTGGACTTGGACCTGGACCTGGACCTGGACCTGAACCTGAACTTGACCCTCCTATCAGGTAAACACACTAATATTACGAAATCATTTTTCAATTTATTCGTATTTTCAGTTTAATCCAATAACAGCAGTAGCTTCGATCTAGCTTACACTAAATAAAATATAAAATAAAAAGTATTTTCTATAAAATTAAATAATAATAAATATTTAATTTAATGGCTGCAGGACAAGTGACGGAAATTGGTGGCCTCAAAAGCTATGTCACGGGCCCTGATAATTCGGATACTGCTATCGTATTGATTTCAGATGTATTTGGTAATTATCATCTTTTGATATTTTATTGTTTAATTTATTTATTTGTTTTTTTTTTTTTTTTTCAATTATACTTTGCGGTATCGATCCGGGAAGGTCATTGGATCACCGATTCAACTGTCGGGTTACCGGGTCAATTGTTGAATCAAATAATTAATTTTTTAAATTATATATAAAGTATTTTGACATATAAATATATATAAAAGTAACAAAATTAAATGTTTTGTATGTAAACTTTATATATTAAAGTGGTAAAAATGTGTATTTATGATAAATATTTAATTTATGCATAGTTTTATTTTTTTAAAAACAAAAAAAAACAAAAAAAATAAAATAATATATATATAGACCGGGTCAACCAGGTTGACTCAGTCGGGTCAATGCCCCGGGACGACGAGGTTGGCCGGGTTTTGACCGGGTTCTTTTTTGCTCGGTCCAAATAGCCCACCTGACTGATTACGTCCGGGTCGACCCGCAGTGCCGGTTGAAAAACACCTGGTGGAATAACTTGCAATGATAATTGCCTCCTATTGTACTTTTTATCTTCTTGTCACATTAATTACTCTTATTATTTCAACTTTTTTAATTATTATCATTATTTTTTTTAATACACAAATGCAGGATTTGAAATTCCCAACTTGAGGTACTCTCTTACATTATATTATTACTCTTTTTTTTTTTCTTCCTAAAATAGACCTTCTTTGCATTTATGCTAATTCATCCTTTATTATTATAACTAGTACAGAGCTCGTGCGATGCACGGGGTGCACAAATTTAAGGTCATTTATCCATTCCTATAATTATATAAATGAATAAAAAAAATGTATGAGATATATATAGTACGTGACCTGTAATAGGCCAATATATGAACACGGGTGATGCACGGGGTGCACAATTTTAAAGTCATTTATTAGTGCATACCCCGTGCGATGCACGTGATACATATAATAAATCAATTATTTCTGTAGGACTTGTACGTCTAGACAAAAAAAACAATAGGCTTGGATCATCCATATTTCACATATTTTAATAAGTAGCGTTTATTTAAGCCAAAAAATTAACATGTTAATTAATATATAATTCCGCTAACACGTCGTACTAATATTTATTTGATTATAGAATACATATTTATTCATTGATAATGGTGGTGAGAAAGTCAGTGTAAGACCAGGAAAAAATAAAATTTTTATTAATTATTGTTCACCATATAATACTCAACTATTATTTTATTATAAAATTTACATCATATAATGTAATTATAAATATTTATAAAAATTATAAGGTAGTCTTTTTTATGTAATGAAATTCAAAATAAAATTATAAGTATAAATGTTTACAAAATACACACACATATTTTTTAGAATTTAGTTTTCTAATAATAATTCTTTATTTAAAAAAAATGATTTAGCAATTGCCAAAAAATAAATCCCTTACATAATCAAGAGATTTTTTCTAGTTTTCATCCTGAGGCTTTATAGTTTATTTAACATACTATGCAATAGAAAAATATTTTACAATAAATTCATTTTTGAAACCTAACAAAAAAAGTGATAAAAACACTATCATAGTTGACAATAATATACAAATAAATAACATGTCGAAATTTTGAAGAATAACTATAATTTTATTATCTAACCATCAATAAAATCATTTAATGATGTGATCATTATCTTTTAAATAATAAATAATATTAATTTTTAAAAAAATATTAGTGTTATATAATTAAATAAAGGTTAAAAATATTACTCAACAAATATTAATTATAATGGGTATCAGTAAAATTATTGCATAAATTATTTAAAGAAAAAATCTTGAAAATCATATTTGGAAGAGAGAGCGTGATTTATTTCCTTAATAATATGGAATTTTAGAAACAAAGAAATCTGAGATAAAATAAAAATAGACGCTCAACTTGAAAAAAAGATAATAACAAATTTGTGATCAAATATTTCCATACAAGTTTTATTTCTTGATCTTATCAGATTTTTTTTTTTTTACAAACTGTTTGAATGAGATAAAATTGAAAACAAAATACACGTAATTAATGCACTTGATAAGATTTGAAAGTCATTAATTATTGTTGACTATTCTACCTACTGAAATTAGTAAATATGTTTGCTTATAATATAAGTATAGATTATTATAATTATTATAATTATTATTATCATTATTATTATTATTATTATTATGAAGGAAAATCGCGGATAAAATTGGGGCAGCTGGGTTTTACACAGTGGTACCCGATTTTTTCAATGGAGATCCTTATGTTTCGGGTCAAAAACCTTGGGGAAGTTGGTTTGCTAAACATCATGCTGTAAGTTATCAAACAATTATTTTATTATTTATGTTATTTAATTTTTATTGATCTAAAAATCTTGCAATGTGGTGACATGAAAATAATCAGATAATATTTTATTTATTTAAATTTTCCTTTCATTTTGTAGGAAAATGGAATCACGGATGCAAATAAGGTTATTGAAGCATTGTCACAAAGCAGAAGCATAAATAAAATTGGGGCTGCTGGTTTTTGCTGGGGAGGTCTCTGTTTATTCACTTATTAACTATTGAATTGAATTTTATGTTAATATAATTACTTATTTAACTATTATTATTATTTCATCAAAGTTCCATTTATTAATGATTTTTACTCAATTATTATATATATATATATGTGTGTGTGTGTGTGTGTTTTTATTTATGTGATCCCATGGATGATATATGTCAATCATCAGGCAAGGTTGCTGTGGACCTTTCAAAGCCCCCTTCAGTTGGAGCTATTGTGTTGTTGCATCCCACATATGTTAATAATGATGATATTCAGGGTAACATTATTTATTTCTGTAAATTTTAGGAGCAAAATGCAATTTGTTCAATTTTCAAAATTTTTGAAATTAATTAATTAATAAAAAAAAAATATTGCCAGGTGTTAATGTTCCAGTTTCAATCCTTGGAGGTGAGGCAGACACTCAAGTCAATACAACTATGATCAAAGGTTTTGAATCTGTGTTGGAAAATACTCATAAGGTAAATTAATATTTATATTCACACACATATATATATTATATAAAATAAATATATATATATTATATAATAAATCATTTATTATAAATGTGTAGCTCTTTGAACAAGATAATACACGTAGATTAGACAATTAGTACTCTAATCTTAATTATTATTAATTAATATTGTTGTTATTATTTTGTGTTTTTTTTTTTTTTT